TAATACTAGTAATACGCAGAGTTCTAGTACATTTTGTTAACAAGTGTAATGCTAGTAATACGCAGAGTTCGTACACATAGTTCCAGACAGGCTTGGGGGCTGTATATACATTGTTATTGGTATTGTGCGGTTGTGTAGCACATGTTTTGTTGTGTTCTGGTTTAGTGTTGTGCCTTTCTGGGCAAGAAGTGAATTAAACCCCCACAACATGTGGCTGGAATATATATGCGGTCCTATATTGGCTCAAGGGCTGTGGTATGGTGGCCAGACATATCCGTGTTTATGGCATGGGGTCGGTGGACCGTGAATACATTGGTTGCCATCGCACACTAGTTAATCGCGTTAGTTTATCCATATGTATAACCTTGGCGACTAGTAGGATATGACGGGTGGATTGAGCAATTATTTTACCGCCGTATGTCACAGGTGAAGTGCTCTGGCATTTTCACCCGGCCATTCTGCAATGCAATCACAGTTTGATGAAGAATTAGAGGAATGTCTTGCGATTCAGTTGTGGCGGCTCCAATCTGGGCATTTTCTCTAGCATTCCTCCCAGCGTAGGCTAGCCAGTCGAACAATTCCATCACTCTGTGAAAACTATCAGGACCCTAGTGCGCAGTTTACACGCCGACGTGCAACTTTCCCCTCCCTTCGAAATGTTAGGGATGCACTTTCAAGATGCACCACCATGTTTAAGGGCACTCTGTGTGTATATACATTACAGCATCTGCCGACGGTGTTCATAAGCTGGATCCTTCATCACTTGCCACGCACACTGTGTAGGTGTCCACATATGTCGGTGGCCCTGTGTTGGCTGCTGGTGTCCTTACACGTTTGTCCTTGTGAAGCAGACGCGTATGGTGGACACCCGGCCGCCTGTCAGTGTACATATGTTAATCCATTTTCACAAACCGGAGCTGTGTCTACTTTTCCTCCGCTCTGTAAACCGCCCCACAAGTGGACATCTTGTGGCGTGTGTGCAGCAGGCTCACATATAATGGGCCACTACAATACCCATTAATGGCCCCCATTATGGCGAAACCCTAGAACAATGGCTTCTTAATTGCATGTAGATTGTTTACACATCGTCTTACGATTATAGCGTAAGAGACTGTGGCGATGATTGAGGATGTCTTTCTCTCTCGTTTCGGAATCCCATTGTGCCATGCATGATTGAAAGCAAAACATACCTCTTGCAGTGCAATAAAACGAAGATAACAACGCTACTCTAGTGTTCAAGGAATTAACAGGACAATTGGCCTATATATAATGTAGTGCACAGTCTGTGCATGTTCCCCCCTCCGCTGTGGATTAATTGCGTTCTCGGGCAGTTTAATGGATGATGGATCTTACTACTATTCCGTAATAGGACAGACTCTGTGTCTCTGGCATTCGTATGCCTTGCAGTGCAGTCAGTGGGCCCTCTCATAATCTAATCTTCCAAGTATCCACGGAATTTAATGCTCTTCGCTCTCCTTCTTTACTCCGTAGTTTGAACATGTTCTGCACACACCTCTGTGCATTATTCATAACCTGGGGGTTATCAGATATTCATATAGCATTAGGCGCAGGTAATGCTAACTCCTATGGGGCACATAACTAAAAGACAAGGCCTTATACACAACACGAGCTGTGCCTTTATTCATGGAGAGTGGTGGTTTGTGGAGGACAGGGTCTAGCCTTTCACCCTCTTTGCACACCAAAAGTGCTTCCTCTGGCTCTTAACCAGACGTGTTCCGTCGAATATTGCCCATGAATATCTAGTTTATTTGTCCCTGACCTCATAATATAAAGGTTTAATGGAAGTTCAGTTTCCTCATACGTAGGTAGGTTTATTGCAGCTGTCGGAGCGATACACATAGTTTAGTTGAATCTCTCATACGTATGAATATCTAGTGTATTTGTCCCTGACCTCATCTGGAGGTTAATGGAAGTTCAACGTTCTCATGATTTGCAGGGTTGTGCTTTCTCTGATACTCTCAGACTGATTATGTTTAGCTGCGTTTGTACGTTGAACCCAGTTTATTCGTCCCTGTTTCACAATACCAAGGTCTTTATTGCATTTCTTCTTCAGCTGGGCGGACATGACCGGAAGAACCCCCCTGTCAAATGTTGCACAATTGTTGTGATGATTGTTTGCTTTCCTTTGACCTCATCATACAGAGGTTTAATTGAGGGACGGTTCCCCCTTCGATTAGCTTCGTTTAGTTTCGCTCCCAACAGTCCAGAGTGTGCCAGACACTCCTCTGGGAGATAATGACTCTCGGCCCTACACACGACCCCTCCCACTCGATGTTTATTTGGCCTGTGTCGGGCCGTTTTCCGGCATCGGTTGCCTATTATGGCAGGGTTTAAGGGAGACAGAGGTAGATCAATGACTAGTCTGTGCACATGACAGGAAGACGGTAATGAATATGCATATCTCTCTCTGCACACTTACATTCTGCCTAGAGGAGATAGCAGCTCTTCAAAACTCTAATCTGAGTTGCTAATGCAATTCCCTCATCTATTTGTAGCTGCAATAATATTCTACACAAATCGTATCATAACTCTACCAAGAATGCCTTAAGTTGCATATGGTTGACCTCAAATGTATGGGTATAATGCTGCAGGACCCTTGCTATCTAATATACTTAGTGAGTGAGTATGATAACTTGCATAAGAGCACAAGTGTGTCTCTAAGCATGGGCCATTACTTGTGGTTTAAATCCCCCCTGATTCACATTTCTCTGCCAACCGCATTGTTGCATTAGGGATGGTGCTAATCGAGTAACTCTGAGTAGTTAACTCAAGGACTTCAGTGAGCTTCGTTTGGCGATAGAATTTCAGTGCATTGTGGCTGCCTAATGGTCGATACGGCTAATTATCTGACCGTATTTGACCATTTCCCCTCTATGAAATCACCACGTGCAGAACATAATTATTACACCGGTATGCCCAACACTTTTAGTTGACATTATTGGAGAATTCCTATTAATAGTAATGTACCTAAACACACACATACATGAGGGAGAGCAAAGGCGGTTATGTTTGCACCCATAATGACCAAATCTCCAGCCTTTTCTCTCCCACTTTGTGTGAAAATCGTTGGCCAAATACTCTGCTTTGGAGTCGTTTTGTTTAATCGTTTTGTTTCGGTACAAATACCGTCTTACGGCCCAACCCACGGGCGGCGGACCGACAGCTCCCCCATGCACGTTCCAGAGCTGCTGATGTTTACACCCAGCCAGGGGTCTTGTCACGCAAACTATGCCATCAATGGACCCATTCTAACCTCCCTGTTAGTGGTAGACCACTCCTCTGATTCACACACTGTACGCTTCAAAGAGCCGCGGCGTGTACTGGGTAATTTGTTGCTCTGGCTGGGAGCCATGGAAACGTTTAGCAGACCAATCAGGGGACTGTACAGCTGTATAGGTTGCCTTTTGGCCAACGACTTTCTCAATGAGATGAATTGTGGCTTGAGACTTGTGTGTGGTGGTGGCTATTTGTGTAGATATAAAGCTCTGACTCTGCCCTGTCCAATTTATTTGATGGGCATTCCTCTGCCGTATAGGTATCAGTATACCACCAACACGTGCCAGTATACTGACAGTAATGGTCAGTATATTATTGTATACTCCAGCTGCAGATGTCCATACTATAATATTACTGCTGCTAACAAGACACTATTGATGTCGCGACGCCGGAATTTCTCTAGTGATACGTGTGCGAGTTATACTCTAATTGGTCCACGGACGCTGCTGATGTGAGGAGACCAGAACCCTTTGCCGTTCACCACACTGTACTAGCTGGGCACTTTCATACGTAGGCCGTAGCAGAGCGGCACTGCTTGCTGTCTTACATATGTACTATACCACGTGATACTGTGTCTAACAACTGCTGATCTGTGTACTACACTATATGTAACCTGAACATATGACAAACAGTCAGGGATGTTGCAACCCACCTTTTGATGGTAATATCTAAAGGGTTGGGGTGTGTACGTCCATCAAGAAGCAATTCGACATGCAACACTATTTCGTGCTCAGTACCTGCCCTACAATCTTTTGCTGAATGCTGCGCCCAATGGGCACACAATTCCTTTTATCTTACACATGCCTCCCTCTGTCACAAACTGTCACCTGTTCCTTTTGTGGCCGAGCTCTGGGCCAATTCTCACAGAGCCCGGTGCCCCCAGGCTCTGCATACCCCTCACCACAAACAGATGTGTGCATCCTCTGCCGGCAACACTGTGGGGCTGTGATCATCTGTGCACTTTACCACTACTACAACACTCAGGCTCTATATTATATCTAGCATGGCATCAAGTTAGAATGGGAAACCTCTGTTTTTTGGATGCAGTGTGAGTAGTAGGCTCAAACGTAAAAGCTCTTAGGTGTTACGGAAACAGAGACATTCGGGAGGAGGGAGTGTTTGTGTTTACAATTAACTGTCTCTAAATCAGTGTCGTGGAAAGTCGCAGGTCTAGTCAACCAACTGTGCCCCAGACTGTGTAATTCTCTCCCGGCCTTTCTCTCGCTGTACGTACCTCCCCCTCAACCGGGTCGAATGAAGTGTGTAGTTCAAGCCGTCTAACGTGTGCCAGTCAGTGGGTATCAATAGTACTGCACACACACACTGTGTGGTGTGGCCCTAGCTACCGGCAGGACGGGTTGCGGTGAGCCGAGAATGCTATTGGTCGTGTGGGGCTGTCGCCTGTAACCTGAGGTGCTGTCTGCGCTTATTTGTGAAGCTGCTTTGCATGTCGAAGCTGAAACAAATCTTCCTCACGGCACCAGCTTATCTGGTGTCATATTACCTGCTTCCCTCAGCGATTGGGTGGGTTAACCCTTTTGAGTGCCATGGGATCTTCTTTATCGACCATGGATTAAGTATTCAATACCCGGTGTAGACATGTACTGGTTCAGTATGCACTAATACTAATGTACAGTTAGACTGGCTGTGCTTACTAACCTGTCTATATATACCTCTCTCCCTCCCCTACAGATCGAGCGTTCATGATTGACTGGCAGGACCCTCCCGGCCTCGATCAATACCTCGAACCAAAGAGCTTTAATTGGGCCGCCGTCTCAAAGATGGACAACCTCAAGCGAGGCCCCGTACGAGACATCGGGAGCTGGAGATCAGCAAAAGAGTCAAGTATATCTTCGCAGTGGTACATGTCTACCAACTTCTCCACGTACTTCACAAATGAGGTTGAGATTGTCCAGGGGCACCGCTACGACTTTACCTACGCCGTGTTGCGAAACCCGGAGCTAATGCCAAAGGCGTTTGAGCTGGGGGTCGACCGCATCAAGTGCCGGATATGCTGCGCCTTCCACATGCTGTTCAGAATGACGGAGAAGTTTGAAACGCAGATGAACGAGCTTCTGACGAGTCTGGGTGCGCCGCAGAAGACCGTCGGTGCCATACAGATCCGGGCGAAATCCCACAACGTTCAAGAGGCGGTGAAATACGTGGACGCATTCATAAAGTGTGCCGGAAAAGCAGGGAAAGGCCTCAAGATGCCGGGCAAGATCTCATGGGTCCCTATCTTCAACAACAGACTGGTGGTGCACATTGTCCACAAGAAGTACGGAGACAAGCTGAAGATACCGATAAATATTGACACTGCCACTCGCACTGTTCACACACACTTGGGTAACCTACCGGTCGATACTGAGCTAGAGGTCGCAAAGGCAGTCCAGGAGCGAACATTCAAAGAGTTCTTTCTGACAATAAACTCGACTGTTCTGATACGAAAGAAGGGTTACGAAGGATCGTTTGGAAACATTGCCGATGCTATACGACGATTCTATCACGAACTGGGTTCGGTCCACACGTTTCTGGTAGGGAACACATGCAGCAAGTTTCCAGACACTTACAAAATAGAATAGCAGTTGCTTTAACCTTTATAGATTTTATCTGTCACACTTTTTTCCAATAACTTTTTACTTCCGATGATGCCACTAAACACTTTAATGATGCTAATTTTCCGTTGTTGCATTCTGTAACAGCTCAAACTCACCATTTCTCTCTCTACATGTGATGACTGTTGTTATTCACTACTTGTCTTACATCAATTCCCCATAGACAGTACACGGAACATAACGCAATTCGCGAAATATCAGCTTTTCAAACAAGACAGGGGGATGTGGGGGTTTAATTTCAAACGGTGCTTAAAATGCTCTTTGATTCACCTGCTGTCTAGTTGGATTGGTGGAGGAGGGTATTTTTCAGAACACCTGGGATGTATAATAATATGTCCCTAGGCAAGCCTAGTAGTACAGTAATTCGAGAGCGCTCGTGCATTCATATGTACCAAACTCTTCCACTTCTATTCCGTGTAAGTATACCACATCTGAAATCTATAGTCTAGCATGCATCAGGTAATGAAGAGTTGGGATCAACAAGCAAAAGACTTTGTGAAGACGTGCGTATAATGTCACATACTGTTCGTATCCCCGTGAACGGCGAAATCCCCAGGATTCAGGAAACAATGCGTGTTCCCTCGTCGAGTTCTTGCCCGTGACAGTGAATTGTCCAGGGTTTAGGAACACGGCTATGTTTTATTACCTGATTTTTTATCTTCTTGCAACTACAATACAATAAGATGTCAATCATCCTATGCCTACCTACATGCCTACACATCCAGCCTCCCTAGTGAATACAGTGCTGCAGACAACGTGGCGGCAGGCCACTAACCTCACAGATTCAACAGAGCGTACTCCCACACATTATGTACACAATACAGAGCCTGGTTGACTTTGGCCCACCAAGTATGGGCATAGCCACTTAGATACAGGTGGGTTGTATATAGTGAAAAGTAAGTCTTCATCCCGGTTGGCAATGCATGGACAGTTGTTAGTAACAGGCCTTTGGAGCATTTAGCGCAATTGAAATTCTTTCAGTTGGCACGCTTTTGCGCTGAGAGATCAAAGTTGACAGAAGTTAGATTTTGAAACATATTTTTTTTGTTTTCCGGTTTTTGGGACAGATACACTACACGATGAACATTACACATTCCATGATCAATAGAGTTGCATGAAGAATTAAAAAATTCTATATACAGCTATAGAATGAGCTGTGACCTGCACAACATGTGATGGTGAGTATAGGAAGAAAAGGAAAAAAGAGAGATACAGATGGTTGGTGATTTTGGCTGCACTGACTGGCAATAAGTTAACATGACAGATGATTAGAGACCTGTTGAACACTGAGTGAGTTTGGTGGGTAATACTTGTCCACATTATTCGGTCATCGGTGGTTGGAGATTTTCCGGCTTGCCATTTCGGGAGTGCATGTTTAGAGTCTTCTCCTCCTGCCAGCGGAAGTCGATGGGCTAAAACGGGCGACTGAGAATCGAGAGACGAGAGTGATGGGCGATATCAGCTGCCAGAGTCTAGAAAGCGGTTACTGGTGTGAGTTGCATGTGTGTGCTTGCAGTGATGATGTCTCCACATCCCCCGCCAACTGTGAAGCTGTCGTAGACAGAGTACTGGTTGTGGTGGTGGTGGTGGTGGTGGTGGAAGAAGTCAACCTCTCGGTGGCTGTCGCTGAGTGGGATGGTGTAGTTTACGAACCACGGGTCGTTGATGTACTTGTACACCTCCGTCACCTCGCACCGCTCCTGCGCGTCCATGGCCAGCATCTTGTTGAAGAGTTGGAGGAGGCGCGGGGAGAAGTTCTGCCACATGCGCGGCGGCTTGGGAGAGACTCCGCGCTGCCACTGCACGAACTCGTAGTAGTTGGGGTCGCTGAGCGTCGCCTGCTCCCAGGGGAAGCTCCCCGTGAGCATGCAGAAGAGGAGGACGCCGAGCGACCACACGTCGCAGGACGGGTCCACGGAGAAGCCCGTGTCGTCGGAGGCGTTGCAGATCTCGGGCGGGGTGTAGGGGATGCTCCCGCAGACCCGGGAGACGTGGACACCGGTGCGGAGGGTCATGCCGAAGTCGATGATCTGGACGGTGGCCCCCTTCTCGTCGGCGAGGACTATGTTCTCGGGTTTGATGTCGCGGTGGACTAGGTTCTTGCTGTGCATGAACTCGAGTCCGCGAGCAATCTGGTACACGTAGGTCCGTGCCTTGTTCTCGCAGAGGCCGACTTCGGGCTCGATGGCGTCGAAGAGATCGCCGCCGCGAGCAAAGTCCTGCACCATCACGTACGAGGTCTTGGTCTCGTAGGCAGTGTCGTGGGTAGTGATGATGTGCGGGTGCTTGGAGAGGTGCTTTCCGTACTTGAGTTCCTTCTTGAAGCAGGATCGGGTAGTGGTTTCTTTGCTGATTGCCTTGATGGCAACCTTGCGGCCGGTGGTCTTGTCTTCGGCCATCCAGGTGGTGCCGTAGGTTCCCTTTCCGGCGGGCTTGATGAAAGTGTAGCGCTCGTCGAGGCTGGTCTGGTAGCTTGCCATTGCTTTGAGACTTTTATCTTTCAGGTTCGAGTTATTAGACACTAGAACAACTTTTCTTGCCTGCACAGGGCACGACTGCGGCTTTTATAGCGGCCAGCGGCATCCCACGCGGCACTTGGTCCAGACACCGGAAGTGTGCGATTGTGTCACTCTGCGTCGCGTCGTCTCGATGCATGCTATATACCATGCAGTGTCGTCGAGCGACAACTGTCAGTCAGTGAAATAAGTTGCTTCCAGCTAGCCAGTAGTTCTTTAGTGTTGTAAAACATCTTCGAAAGGAAAGGGGCGATATTTTGTCCCGTAGCTACCGAATCGGCGCTCCGAGACCACGACCGCGGGCCGTCACCTGCGTCCGCTAAAGGCTGTCCTTTATCGAAGAGACTTAGCTAGCTACGTAGAGGTATAACCAGCGGCAGATGCACGTAGCAGTTGCTTCTGCTTCGTTTGTAGCTGCTTCTTTGCAACATAACGTCAAGACGACATAGCTACGTGCGTAGCGCAGCCGGAGGACTCGAAGTGATGGAAGTGACCCTAGACAGACGTCAATATCTTAGCCTAACCAAGTAGAGAATTTAGAGATTCTCAGTGCATTATACGTCGGCGTCCTCCAGTAAAACTGCAAGAACAGAACAGTAGGTAGCCTGCATGACCCGCTGTGTAGAGGGATCTGCCTTTGCTGCTACAATTATGCAAGGCATTTGTCAGTTGGCTAGGCTTGCAGCTGACTAGATGAAAGTAACCTAGCTAAACGAAGTATTTTGTCGTGCAATATTGCGTGTATGACGCTATGCTCCTGCTAGAAAGAGAGCATAATCTCCCATGGACAGCATGCAGCCCCTGCACACGAAATATTATTTGTTTCATGTTGGGTCCCATGTGGTGAGAGACCAACACTGGGTCCTGCAAAAACACGCTGTTCCACACAAGCAGTATGTGATCCCTACCAGCATGTAGCAAACCCCAACCCTCTGTTGCTTTGCAACACCACCCAATAGAATACAGTAGGATGCATACATGCACCTATGAATGGAGCAGAGGGCTACAGAGAGGATATTCAAGGCATCGGTTAAACTTTATTCAAGGCTAACAACTGCTGGCAGTTTAGTTTACCACACGTGTAGTATTATTCTCTGGCGCCAAACGGCTAGGGAAGCAGTCTGATACAAGCTACAGCTCCCACCTATACTCCAGGACCTAAATACACATCAAGTACAGAAAACACCTTATACCATCTAGGCAAAGTTGAAAAATCAGGACGGGCTAATGTTATTCATTGATGACGTTGAATTTGTGATAAACAGTGACTAGCACAACTTGTGCGGTTGTAGGAGTATAAAGATGATATCATTGGCTATATTCACAGAAGGTCCTCAACGAGACTGTCAGTGTGCACCTTGTCACACACATACACCATTTATAGAACCCACCCCACACATACACTCTCCCTCCCTCTTTTAACCCTACTACTCCCAATGCATGACTAAGATCAGGTAATGATGGTCATGCAAGCCATGCTTACTTTATGAGGCTTGGGAAAAAACAATTAGCCTGCCTGAGCTTAAGGCATAAACAATTAAACAACAGGTGATGGGTTAGTTATGATCTCACCCAGATGATTATCGTTAGCTAGCTAGCTACTTGTGTGACCACAGAGTGGGCACATAATATGAATGATTGTTTCCCAATGGGCAAATAATTACCTCATCCCGATCGAGTTAATTAACACTACGTACTTACTGCATATGCAGATGACAAACTTTAATGCTAGACCATCACACACAGCCACCCACATTACTGAGGCAGTGGTAAACATGCAGGTGCACAGCTAGCTAGCTAGAAGACTAACAAAACCATTTTCAGTTTCCGACCGTTAGGAAGCTGCAAGCATTGTATAAAGGTGATGCTGGTGCATTAATTATAATATGGTACCTACGCACGTAGACATGTGTCTCTACTCATGTGAAAGTGGTACAGACAATTTTCATGGTAAGAGCAACTGTTGCTACACAATGTCTACTATATTTCCTCTTTGCCACGCCACAGGCACAGTATAAAAATTATACCAACGTAAATTGTCTCATGTTACTAAGAGGCATAACTATATGTCCATTTAGTGAATACCTAAGTGTTTGTGCTCTAGGCAATAATAGGTTGACTAAATTAAGATCCCACAAATTAGGATGAAGACATGCATTTCTAATGTTTACGTACACGTGGGCCTGGTCGTACATCACGAAATAGGATAAAGCCAAACCATCAACACATCAATATATCCCGTTGTCTTATTGGACTACCTCGTACTCCCTCACTTGCTTCACAGTGACTTTAGCATAATCATTCCACTTCAAGAGTCACAAGCACCTATGATTTTTTATATGAGCACCAATGTTTCATGTTAACCAAGAATAAATCCACAGACGTGTTATGTTTTGAAGTTGAGTAAACAATTAGCCACAGACTAAAGCCCTACGCCACAACAGTCTCTGTACAGAAAATATTTAAAGGTTATGTCCAGTGGCATTGTCGAGACACACTAGAAATCGATCTCTTTTACGGAAAATATTTACCCTTGATCCGCAAATTTACGTATTACACCTTTTGTGGGTGAAGGATGGAATGAGGTCGCACATCACATGACCAGATTAGCATACGAAACAGTCCAGAGGATACGATCGTGAACTATAACCCTTGAGGAAACGTAGGGGGGACTGGACAGGTAGATACTAAAGTCCTGCAGCACCAGTGGTGCACCGATTAGTGTAAGGTGATGTTCGAGACACTTAAACCCAGGATGTTGGCGTCTGAAAAGGAGGACACTGCTCTGCGTAGGATTAACCTGATGGCCGGACATAGTGTACGAACTCTGGTAGGCTTCGTGATTTGTTAAGTGGCCTGTAATGCGTATCGATGTAGGAGTGTCTGAGTGGCATACATACGTGATTTCACGTTTTGTTTCTTGAGAAACAGACTCTTACAGCACAGCCGAACGGACGGATTCTTCGCGCACACAACAAAGTTAACTAATTCTCATATAATACTACAGCACACAATCGAATTGAAGACACATAATTATTGTAGTAGTAAGCAGTAGTAGTTGTAAGCAGTTGTATATAGAGTAGGAAATTAACACTGTGCCAAGGGCTGCTGGAAGCCGACCTAGGAAACCTTTATTTCCTCCCTCCACCTCCTGCCGAATTTTCAAAGAGGATGTGCTGCTTCCCCTAGAGAGGCAATACATACACAGCTACATGATGTGCTCCAACATACTGTGGAGAACAGATTTGTCAGTCAGGCTATGGAAGAGTTCACAAAACCTGGCAATGCTCCAAACAAGGTTTGTTAATAGTAGACGAACCCTGTAGAGTATAACTGGGGTGGTATCCCCTTCAATCATCACGTATATGCCCTGGGGGGTTGGGGGGTGGGGGGAGACGATGCTTACCAGTAAAACTGCTGCCAAATACTTCAACCTACATGCTTTGAACCTGATCCTGAGCGGAACACCTCGTCTATTCTTCAGACGGAAGTGTCTGTGAACTGTCGCCATGGCGTACATGTTTCCAGGTTTCCAGGGAAATGTGCCATTTTGCAACGAGAATACAGGTAACAGTAAAGCCTCTGAAATGACTGGTCCGAATAAAGGGCACTTGGTACTGCCCTACACGTATTGACACTTACCCGGAAAACCTTGCAAATACTTCATCCTACTCAACCTAACTGTCTCAGAGTGTGTGTGGGCTTCAAACGAAAGTGTATGTAAATCTTTGGTACGTACTGCAATTGTATCACTAAATTTCCTGGAAAACGTGCCGTTTCTTATAGATATACCACACCACGACAACACAAAACCCTCCAAGGTGCCTGGTGAGGGTGGTGACTTTGGTGATGGTGTGCAGGTGGAGGATGGGAGAGAGGGGCACGTGGTGATGATGGATGATGTACCGATGCCCAGCCTCAACTCCAGCGACAGAACTTGTCAAGAATATTTCATTTGCAGTTCAGACTATGAGCAAGTCCAACTTGGTGTCTGTATGTTTCTACCATATTATGATGGACACACACACTCCAAAAATATACACAAGCAAAAGAAATGATACCACATTCCACTGCTCCTATAATATTGTATTTACAAACAAGACTCCATCCTCTAGACTTCCACTGCCCCATATATGACCAGAAACTGCAGAAACTCTATTCTTCAAACACTTTTGCATACGGACACATGCAGACTCAATGTTCAATTTAACATTCCTGCTCCTGTTCAGCAAGACTCCCACTCTCCCATATAAATAGCAAGGCATTCTCTTCTTCGAATTATTATGGCACCTGCAGAAGAGTCCAGGTCCCTACATGCAACTGCATGGTCTGCATCTGAGTCAGTGCAAATGTCTCTTGCCTCACAACCCACACAGTGTATACCTCCATGGTGCATGACTCAGTAGCCAAGTGCTGTACATGCCGCCCTCACCTGGAAGGTAGGCCTCTAGATCAAAGTCGGTTGACTCCATCGTAAATATTTGACACGGGTGGATCTGGAGAACACACAGGAAGATCTTTGGGTTTAATCACGCCAGAATTCCCTTTGTGACTCATTATGGCGATGAGTGTTTTGTAAGATGCATTCCTAACAGCTTCAGACTTGCTGCAAGCAACACTGCAATATCTACAGAAGGATACTTAAACACATTTTTAAAAGATAGAGATGCTGCATAAATGTATATTTGGCAGTTTGGGGGTAACATTGATCTTCCAAAATGTTTAGTGGCTACATACTATGTACATGCAAGGACCATTGAATATTAAGTTGATAAATCAGTACTTCAAACGGTGGAGCTCATATGGTGTGCCATCCCATTGCCAGTCAAGACACGCAAATAAGCCCGCCACACCAGCCAGCAAGCTAACTCACACAGAGAGCATCAAAAACCCTCCCAGCAAAGGACCATGCCAACAAATCTCACGCACGCACACACACGGCATTAAAAACAGGCTCTTGTGTC